TTTAGAACCCTTAATTCAGCACCTTTAAACTCGAAGCCCTTCTAACCATGAAACTGCAAACACCTTAGAACCCTTGAATCACGAAGCACGCAAAAGGTGTCTTCAAAGCCGTCGATATGGAGGCTCAGATTGTCAACAACACCTGGGGCGCGCTGTCCCGAGGCCCTGTGCTAGCTTCCCGCACTGCTTGGAGATGATAAGGGTTTAGGATTTAGGGGGTGGGGTTTAGGATTTAGGGTTCAGGGTTTAAGATAAACACCCAATTGATAATGAAAAGTTTGAGAGTCCCGGATGTGCTACTTAGTGCCGTGATGGGGGTCCACGGTTCTTAGGATTCTAGGGTTCAGGGCTGGGGGCGGTAAAGCTTTAGTTTGGTGTTTCAGGGTTTAGGTCTACATTTTCGCACTATTTACGCTGAGAAAACTCCGTGCTGTGCATCGACGAGGACCTATTAGTACCAAGAACAGCCCAGGCAAAAGAAAGCAGACCTAACGAAAGCATTTGCGTCTCAAGGAAAACATGAACATCAGCCAAACACGCAAAATAAGCCCAAACTGCTAAAGCATGAACGGGTTCTGACGAGACGAGGCACTATATCAACCCCAAACCTTCATGACTAAATGCTGGCACGTGTCATATAAACCCTGTTCACAAGGCCCGGCACAAGCAAAGACCTAAACCCCTAAACCTGTACACGGCAATATCTACCCGCTCGAAACACCCTACCCTAAATGCCTACATTTGCTGCATTGGCAGGTATCGGCCACGCGAAGGAAGTCGCGGCTGAAACTCTGAATCTCGCCATGAAGCTTCGGAGTGTTTTGGGTTTAGTCTTAGGAATGGTTTGTGGTCTGAGGTTAAAAGAGGCACCGGGAGCCCAAAAGAACCTACCTGATCATGGAATATACAACGCCATGTGATGAGGAGCCCTCAAATGTACTTCTTTTGGGCTATAGGTAGGAGGTAGGGTTTGGATGATCGGTTAGGGCTCAGGGTGTTTGGATTCAGCTAGAAGCTCTTCGGGGCATGGGCGCAGGGTTTGCATGCATCGCCTTACAGAATCCCTAGGTTCCAGGTATTCAGGGTAAATGTAACAAGGGGCCAGAATAATTGCCCATACTATTATTTTGGGGTTCCTTATTACAATTACAGTTTAATATACCCCCAAAGCCCTATTCGAATCATTAAGGCAGACCCCTGATCGGCTGTTTAAGTTTTCTGGCTGTGGGGTCGAGAGCTTAGGAATGTTGGGATTTCGAGTTTAGGGGTCTTTGGTGAGCCCCAATACCCGAAGTCTGAGTACCCAAAACCCGGAGCTCGAAAACCACTACTTCCAGTAGTGCCGTGTTAAGCTTGATTGCAAAACTGCAATAGCTTTCGCTCTACGACTCCACACCAAAAATAGCCAAGAAGGCTAAGACTCCAAGACTCACAAATCTCTAAACACTTAGCACAGTATCCGAAATCCACAAACCCGTTAAACTTGGACCTACAGCACACCCCAGAGCTGTCAGGTTAGGAATGATGCGTATCGCCTTGGCAGCAGTCTCTGCTGTTGCAGTGCCGTGGGTGCGAAGTCTAAGATACTAAGATGGTTGTTCCCAGGTTATCCAAAGTTCTAGGTCCCTTCTGGGGGGGGGAGAGGGTCCTATAGAGTGGTTTATGACAGCTTATGACGGTTCTGTCAGGGGTTTAATACGTGTTGGGTCCCTTCCGTTTTGTTGGGGCTCCTTCATCTTTCGATTGCCTACCTTATAAGCCGGAATAACCTACCCTTTTGTAAGGACTTATATAAGGAAGTCATAATACGGAACCCTAAACAGGTAGGTTATTCCGGCTTAAGGTAGCGTTTAGAGTCCAGATCAGGGTCCCTTCCGAAGCCCGAAACCTCGGGTTCTTCAGCCCCAAGCATATACGTAGCATCTAATCTAGAAAGCCCTAAAGCCCTAAAGCCCTAAAGCACTAAACCTAAAAACCCTAAAGCACTAAACCCTAAAGCCCTAAGGGCCCTAAAGCTAGAATCTATAAAACCCCGAGGGCACATAGACATCCGCAGGAGGCGGATCTTCCGAAGTCTGGACTTCAGGATTTCGGCATCAACGCTTCACATTGAGGGTTCGGAATTTCGTCAGAAAAGGCTATGTTCCCTCCCAGCCCTGAATGTTACAAGCCATAGCTCCGTGGGCCCAGAAGAGCTTGATGCCGCATCTCTTCAGTACCGATTGAAGAAGTCACTGCACTTCAGGAGCCACAAACTCCCCCAAAGGCACAACCGTGCATGTTGTCTCGTGAGGTTGCCGAGTCTCGCAAGCAAAGATCCCTTATTGTGACGTTTGTTTCGAGATCGTGGCTGCGGGCTTTGCCACGGCGCTCAGCCAAGGTATCCACCTGCGCCTTTGGCTGCTTCCTGATACACCGTAACTCGGTCCTAATACTTGGAGATGCTTTTGGGTATGGGTCCTGATCGAGGAGATCAAGAATACGATACATTTAAATAAAGGGATCTAGGATCTGGGGTTGGAGGATCGCGGTTTGTTCACCTGTAGGGCTTGCATGTTAGGAGGTTTAGGATAGCGCCTACAACTCTCACTCCATGCCCTGAGCTGGAAGATGCAAAACACCAAACGGGGTTGGGAGTTCAGAGTTTTGGAGAAAAACTCTGGTTATAGACCGTCAGTCAAGGGTCTAGCTAGGATTTTGACACCGCGGTCTTGGGTTTCGGGGTGCAGGGCATGGCAGACCCTAAGGCTCGAGACAGGATCGCCGGAATGTCGCGCCCAACTGCGACAAAACACGCAGAGGTGCCTAGAACCCTCAAAAGTCCTCTCAAAAATCGTGTACCTGAAGAGCTGCTGTACCAACATCGAAATCTAGCTCCAGCAACCTCGGATTGTCTTCGCGATCCTAATAGCCGGAAGTACTGCCCTAAACCTTGCTTGTTCACATGGCTCCCATATCCCTACGCCCTCCACCCTTGATCTCCCGTTCCCACACTCAAAACTCAAAGCCCCGTTTCCTAGTGTTCTAGAAGTCTTCCATCAACTGAATTTATTGAGCGACCCTTAACGTTTTGAAGCAGGTCGAACAGATTGAAAAACACACTAGACCGACGTCCAGGCGAGCGACAAGGGAAACCCGTCTTCGAAGCTTCCGGGAATGCGGCCTCGCCGTCCTTGCACCTCAGCACCGGTTCTTCTGTGTCGGTTGCGGCTTTAGGGCGGTATAGGGCTTGTTATACGGCTAATAGGCCTTGGGGTTCTGAGCACCCATAGGTCTGGCTCTCGTTATATTGAAACTGCTGCAAGCCCTGAACCTGAATTCCTTGCACGCCGAGACCCTACTGTCTCTATTTTCCGGCCCTAAATCCCTGAACCTAAACCATGAGTTTCCCTAAGCCTGTGAACGAACCATTTAACAAAAAAAACTAAACCCCAGCCGAGCCGAAAGTTGCCAGACCCTAAGCCCTAGTACAAACAACAGGTGCCCACAGCATTCTCTTCTCAAGCCCGACAGCAGTAACCAGAGTCTTTAAGACCTTAGGTCCGAGCTTGACCTCTTTACTCGACCCTGCAGATGTCGGAGGGGTTTCTCAAGTTGAGGCTCGAAGCGGATATCTAGTAGTCGATGCAGGAGTAGTCAATGCTTGAAATCATTGCGGGCTGGGGCTTGTAAGGTTTAGGGGTCAATGGTTCATTGTTAATTACACTCGTCGTGTCCGTTGTTGTCTCTTTGTTCTGATCATCGGTTTGACTTGTTCTTTGCGAGTGCTTTTCCGATTGGCGAGGTTAACCCTATCCGTTTCATAGCTATTGGCTATTTGCGTAAAGCACCATATCGAGTAATTGTTACTAAGTTTGACCAGCAGCCTGGTAGGTGAAGAAGTCGTCGTCATCATCTTTGTCGTCGCGACAACAAAACTGGTTGTAGGAGCAGCAGTTTTGCAGCAGGAGTAGTAGCAGCAGCAGGGCCAGCACCAGCAGCGGAACTTCGTTTCTGCTGCACCCTTAGCGCACATACATGTGTACGGGTCAAACCTGTTTACACACCCCACGCACCAAGAACAAAGCAAATACGATCTGCTGGATCTGCGTAGTTTGCTGCTTTGCTACGTTTGATGCTCTGGATTCAGCCAAAAGGCGGGGTGTGTGTATACTTATTTTATGCTTATGGTTGTTACGACTTCGCCGAACTTGAAACTATCTGCCTCCAATGGTTTTGCCTACACCCATACAGGGAACTCCAGAAAGTTGGAATATGGATTAATGGTAGGATCCCCTATAATTTACTCTAAAGGGGTTACGATAATGATATTCCAACTTTCTGGCTTCTACTGTATTGTCTTGGTCTTGGACTCTGGGCTTGCGTTTGTTGGATAGCACAGCGTGCTGGGCTCTCGAGAGAATGCTTCCGACTGGGAACTCTCATCTCCCAACCTGAGTCTGAGTGCTACGGTTGATGATATCAATCCTGCATTTCCCATAATAGTGAATATACCATAATTCCCATAGTTTGGGGTCCTTAAAGTGCAGGATTCATATCATCAACCGTAGGACTAATCCTCGAAAAAGCAGAGCCCAAAACCGTTGAGGATGGGTGCGCAGTCGTCCTACCTCGAGCTGTCCTGATGCGCTGATATCATTGTCCATGCTTGGAGAAGGTTTCGGTCTGAGGCTGGATAGAGATTTGCCAGAACATTGCAAGATTCCGTCGGGCTTCTTGGGCTTTGGCGGCGCCTATGGTGAAGAAAATAACTTAGTTTCAATCAGAGCAACCTTAACAGTCTAAGCCCAACCCTCAGACGGGAACGGCTAATGCCTCAGAGTTGACTGCGGTGGTACGACGGCGGAGAAAAGTCATCCGCTGAACTTTGCCGTGGAATGGCCGCACCTTTGTCTTGGTTCCTGTGGCCAGGCCGTAGCAATGAGGAAGTCACTAGTATGACACTGAGAACAACCGAGGACATGTTTCCAGGCATTCTAATGTTGAACCGGGTTGCCGAGGCCAGCGATCGGCCTCAACATCTGGGCCACCGAGGATCTCTCATGTTCGGTTCAGGGTGGAGGTTATGTTTGTGTCTTCGAGTGTTTTGCTTCGGTATCCCTGTGTGGATGAGGCATTTAGGCACATAGACGGGATGTGGCTGTTAGGGGTTCCAATTGTCCAATCAGCGACAAATTTTGAGCATAAATTAGGGTTTGGGGTGTTGCGAAAGACAGGTCAGTTGTGTGGCCAGCCGAAAGACAAGTCCAGTTCAACCGAAACTAAACCTTTGTTTGGGGCTCTCCATTGATTGTGTCAGCACTTGGGGCTGCCGTTGGCCGGCCGGCTTGACGGATCGCATTCACAACATTCGTGCATGGGGGCTCTTAACTGGGATTCGCGGGGTTCTTGTGCTTAAGATTCCGTTCCGGCAAAGCATGCTACATCCTGAGACCCCTAGGCACAATACCAAGAAGGCTCCTTGTGAACATGGGTCACGGCTCTAATTGAATCAAGGTTCCTGCCGCCGCTGTTGGTGCGCTCCGGTGCTCTCTCTCTCTCTCTCTCTCTCTCTCTCTCTCTCTCTCTCTCTCTCTCTCTCCCAAAGGCTCCATGTACCCATATAGTAAGTACTTAGGCCTTAAAGTACCCATATAGGGACCCCTTTAAGGCCTAAGTACCTACTATATGGGTACATGGAGCCTTAGGGTCTCTCTCTCGCTCTCTCTCTCTCTCTCTGTCTCTCGCTCTGTCGCTCGCTCGCCTCCTTCCCGTCCTTCCCTCTACCCTATATAGATAGGTAGATAAGCAGATGAACGACATACAAGATAGGCCAGATAGTTTCATCGACACTAACCGAAATAATGATGTGCTGAAAACAGCGGTCGGATGAACCCCCCCCCAAATCAGGCTTCTAGCCGGTTCCTACAAATCACACCGGCGCTGCCGTCTGTAGGGCATTGAGAGTCCAGCGCAAATTAAAGCTGAGGTCTACATGGGGTGTGCTAAAACTCTGCATCTCTTCGAGCTCCCTCATGACAAGAGAAAAGTACTATATACGGCCTTCTTAAAACTAAAGTTAGTAACTGGCCCTAAAGCCCTGTTTGAATCATTAAGGCCCCTACGTTACTCTTGTGGGAACCGAACAAGGGAACACAACTGGGCCCCGAGACCCTCTCGAAAGGACGGACACCAAAGCAGCTGGTGCACAAGTCGCCCCTGAGTCGGGTGTCAAGGAGCCTTGGCACCTAAACCTAAACCTTATGGGAGTTTCCGAAAATTAGGGGCACCTTATTCTGGGGTCCTTATAACAAGGATCCTGCTATTTAGGGTACGATATGAGGGTCCATAATTTTCGGAAACTCCCATATGTGGAGCCTTGCCTGCCTTGTGCGAGAATGAGAGTCGAAGGCCTAAACAATGATATCCAGGCATGTCCGAGTGTGAGTGCTGAAGCCATGATACTTAGGGCCTTAGGGGTACTTAGAAATAATTTAGTTTTTGGATATTACCCTAAGAAGCAGCTAAAACTGTAATTTTTGCTAGGGTTCTAAGGTAGCTCGGGTTGTTTTTATGTTTCGGGAGACGTGGCCCCCCGCAAACAAGTACTGTTGTTGGCTCAGCTCCTCAGTCGGGCCGATAGAGGGTTGCACAGAGCCAAAATGCACTTTAAGGCGCCCAAAATACAGCAAGCATGTCGTTTTTGCACTTGTGCGAAGGCCCGAGACGCTGAACGGCTTTAATCTGGGGGGTTTTGGCAAGGTCCGAGGACACTATTAGTGGGGGTCGGTGTCGCCCTTTTAAACTCCTCTCGCCCCTGCCTTTCTTCTGATTTCCGGACCCCTGCGTCTTTAATCGAGGAGGCATGATTAATCCTAAGTTACCATTATCCCATGCTGTGTTTATTCTTCGCCTTGTTGGGTTTTGGGGGTTGTCGAGTTCACTTAGAGGTTTCTTGCTCAAGCTTTGAGCTTGGGGTCAAAGGTTTAGTTGTTGTGAACCACTTTAACCTCCATGTATCGGTCAGTCTGAGAAGCTCCCCAACGGCCAGCAGAGGGAAGCAGAGAAGATGATCGTAAGTCTGGGTCGGAATATGACCGACCATTCTCGGGATTAGGGTATCTAGAACAATCTTCTGTTGATGAGGGCCCTAGAGTATGGCTTTAGGGTTTCATGCGTTGTTCTTGCGTGCCGCTGCCCCCGGATCACAAAATCTTGGCCCGGGTTCGTCTTAGCCCTGATCAACTCGACACTGTTAGCTTCATGACTTGACTAACGGGTTTAGAGCTTCAGGGCTTTAGGGTTTCAACTTCTGCCACAACCTCAAAAGCCGTCCCCCAAACACGGCCCTAAACGCAGCAGTTATACAGAGTTTAAGAACTCCTAAATCCGAAAAAGCCCTCGACAAGAGCAGTCCAAATCTCCAACCCCTGGCCCCCTTTTCAAGCGCTGTGCAGGAGTTGGAGCCATCGAGGGGCAACTTTCTGGTCAGCAGCTGGTCTGCAGCTCGCGTCTACATTCAGAGCTTGCCCAGAGCTTTTGTCTTCGGCCGGCAGCACAAATCTCCTAGGTTGGATTTTGGGACATTTTTTTATTTTCCTTATTTGTGTTTATAACGGACCCTATATATAAATATTTTTCAGTGTTTTTAAAAGCCAACCCAGTCTCACATTGCATTGTTATCAGGGCTTCGGCTCAAAGCCACAGCAGGAGCCTCAACCTGCTGGGGCATCAAAGAGGAAAGTGAGCTCGATACTATGGGGAAATTCTTCAAGCATAAGGCCCGATAGATGGTTTAAGAGATTGCATCCCTTTTTTCCCAAAGCGCCTGCAACCACACTTCGACGCATCCAAAGTCTCGGGGACCTTTAAGTTGCTCCGAGCTGTTTAGGGTTTAGGGTTTAGGGTTTATCCCCGAAAGCCTGAAACCTAGGCCTTCAATCCTAAATCCCAAACTCCTGCCATCTCAACAGGGATTTGTTCGAAACACCTTTCCGAAGCATAAGCCCGAAGGCCCCATGCTGAGAGATCAGCTGCTAAAGTCGCGGGCCGAGTCGCCGACACGGGAATTGCACACAACGGGGGACCCTAAGATAGACAGTAAGCACAGTGGGATGCTTTTCATAGAGACCTTTGAACAAGGGACCCCTAATTCCAAGAAGCCTTGTGCTTTCAAGGTTGGTTGATACGTCTAGAGTCTAGAATCTATTGTGAAGCTTTGGGGCTCTTCATTTTCGAAAGGGTTTGCATGCTCCTTGTGTCCGCTTGCAATCCTGAACGAACGCGATTCCTGCATATGCTGTTTACTGTCATGTCTGGTGCCCCAGCCGACTCACAACGAATGGAAGGGACTCCGGGCTAGTAGCATCCCTGACCAATCTGAGAACGATCTGTCACTTCTGGCATTGCTTGATCTCCAAAGAGAACTGTGGGCTCTAGCGGATTGTAAAGAAGAGATCACTGAGGAGTGTAGGTCTCGAATTATCTGACTCCTGATTATATACTGAACCCCAGAACAGGGAGCTCGAGCCTTTAAAGCACGAAACCAATTCCAGCTTGGCATGTCAGTGGTTGTGGATCTTCGGCAGTTCATCTGCAGCCATATCTGCCCCCATTGCAGTTAGAGTCAGTTAGAGCCGCCCCCGCAGATCGAGGCTTAATCTCTGCTGCCATGAGTTCCGGCACCGAGACCGAGCTTGTTTTATACCACATGAATGGGTCGCGCTCAACTCGGGCGATTTGGCTGTCGCTTCGCAGATCTAAGGGGCTCAAATGTGCCAAATCCCCGCGCATCAAATTCAGAAAAGACCCTGAGCTCCACTGTAGCATAGTCTGGTCTAGTATAAACTATAGTACAGAACAGTACGGCAGAGCCTAGCAGCTGTAGCAACCGAAAACCAGAACTCCCCGGCCTCACCCACGACCCTGAGCTGCTGCGGCCCAGGTATGAGGAGCTCCAGGCAATTTACCAGAACCTGCCACAAATGCGGGTTCATGTCTTCGACCCAGCCACCTTCCGCAAGGAGGGTTTAGAGATGGACTCTGTGGGGCTTTTCCTGGGGGTTTACGTAATGTTGTCGGACTGTGAAAGCTGGTCGACCGTATGAGAGAGCAATAATGACGTACTCGGTTTTGGGATAATAACTATTATAGTTATGTAGGATACTATTCTGGAGAGTATATGATAATTAGGTGCTTTGACCCTTGGGGTCACTCATGACTTATGATGGTTACAATGACTGTCATTATGGCACGTTGAAGTTTCTATGGCCCCGAACTTACTGCTTGCGGAAGGACAAGCCAGAGTGGTACTTGAAGCTCAACCCAAACGGCAAAGTTCCTGCGCTGCAGCACGGAAGTACAGTGATGTTTGAGAGCAGCGCGACTCTTAGATGGCACGAAATTAGCAAACCGATTTCTTGCAAAGGTCTTTGCAACCTTTTCAATTTTCAACAGTGTTTGAACTGCTCAGCCACCAATCCTAACCCAGGGAGTGCAAGGTTTGTGTTTGAACATACACTTGCTCTTGTTTGGGATGCGGGGAGGTGGGGTTCGAGTCCGTACTACCCCGCACCAACCCAAACTTAGACCTCAACCTAGGCGCCAGGCACCAGGATCACCTCAACGCCTCGAACCGCCTACACCCTTATCCAAGCCTGAAGCTCAGGATCTGCCTCTACATCCTCCAGCTCTTTGACAAAGACCGGAAATTCGCACCTCTAGACCAGCCTGAATTTGCATCGCTCTTCTACCAGCTTGCCTTCTACTGCTCCGGGACCATCGATAACTTGAGCCTTGGCCTTGAGTCTTAAGGTTTGGGGTTTAAGGGTTTAGGGCTTAGGGTTTGGGGTTTAGGGTTTGAGGGTTTAGGGTTGAAAGCTGCGCTGCCGATTCGTTTGCAAGATCGAATCTGCCGGTTCAAGGGGAAGTCTAGGGTTGAGGATCAGGGGTTCACTTACCCTTGGCTCGTTTAAAGGGATCTATATGGTTCCTTTAAAGGGATCTATAGGGGTTTAGGGTTCCTTTAAGGGGATCTTTACCTTTGGTTAGTAGGGAACGGAGGAATGGGGTACAATTATAACTACTAGTACTACCATTCTTCCATTCCCTACTAACCAAAGGTAAGTTCAGGGATTTCTAAGTGATTGCGGTCAAGTGTTCGTCCTGGCGGAGTCGCAGCAGGCCAGTTTCAAAAGACATTTAGGGCTTTCAGGTCTGGCACCTGTGAGAGAGAAAGAGGGTTTTAGGGAATTAGGGTTTCGGGATTTAGCGATTTAGGTCCGGGTGAATTAAGGGTTCAAGTTTCTCATCATGGGGTAAGAACACTCAGTAGTTTATTCCTGCTGGTCCTTGCAGTCACATCCGAGCACTTCCGCCGAAGATCATTCACTTGACAAAACATCAGCATCCTAGTAAAGCTGCATAGTAGCCCTATTGCAGTAATCCTTGCTGACACCCTTAAAGTAAGCCCCAATGCCCGGTGATGTCTTCGGGAAGCTCTCCAACCCTCCAGCCTTTGCCAAGCCCAACCCCACGAAGCCAAATAACCCCAAAGGCCCATGAACTCCAAGGTTCCGAACCCTGAAGTGCCACGCGCCCACTGTAGCAATGCACTGTAGGGGCATTGATACCTGTAGTCTCCATTGTAGTTCCTTTTTTTGGTTTGACCATTCTTATGTTAAGGATCCTAAAAGGTAACCACAAAAAGGAACTGCAATGGAGACTATAGGTAGTTAGAATAGGGCTTGGGGGTATACTGTCATATAACTATGATAAGGAACCCCCCCAAAACCCTATTCTAATTATATACTAAGGCCCCTACAGCACCCCTACTGCTCCTGGACGAAGGACGGCCACATCTTCGCCCATCCAGATGGTCCTCGAGTGCAAAGCCCCCGGAGATGAGGAAAAGGCAATGGAGCTCAACCACCAGGCACCTGCAAAGAAGATCGATTAAGACTGTGTTCCTTTAAAGGGATCTATAGGGCTCCGATAAGGGATCCTTTTAGGGTGTAGGGCTTTGGCTTCAGGGCTTAGGGGTTTAGGGCGTTAGGGTTTAGGGTGTTGGGGGACCTGGGGTTCAGGGGCTACGTATGGTTCAGGGCTTGCACAAGGCATGTAACGTTTACTGCTTCATGCTGTCCTTGTTCGTTTTGCCATCGTTCGCAGCACTATAGATGCCAAATTGCCAATGACACGGTAGACGGTAGCATGAACTTGTGACCGGCTGTATGCTTGCAATCACTATGTTGGTATGACTGTTGCTTTTGTTGCTCCATCCTACGGCTGAAGGGCCAAATCCTGCGTTGCCTCAAGTAGCCTGTTTTTCGGAGAAGGCCCCGAAACTCATAGCGCACCCTACGAAAACCTTGGATTTCCCTGCAAGATTTCGTTCGCCGGCCCGAACTTCAGAGCAACCAGAACCAAGGCTTTTGGGCTTTAGCGCTCCGGAGTTTTCCCAGCTGCAAAACCAAGTAGAGTCTGTAACCCTTAGCCCTTTTGGGTAGTATAGCCAATAACCAAAAAGGTTCCCTTTAGTTCCCGATGATACCCGACAAGTAGGAAAAGGGTCTTGCGTCTCTGGGTTCGGCTCTTGAAGTTGCTGAGGTTGCTTTAGGGTTTCTTAGTCTTGAAACTCAGATTGCAAGGGTTGAAACCTCGGTCAGTCAATGCTCGATCCGGTTCGGGGAGCGCCTCTCCTCAAGTTGATCATGTGGGGCTTGAGCTTCGGGCACGGATTGCATCCTGAAGCCGAAGGCCTGCCCGTTTGAACTCGAAAATACCAAGTCGACGTTCGAATCTGGTATACAGCAAACGGTCTTAAGTTCATGGCATGGTTTAGGGAGGATTTCAACCACCGAAATCCCCGAAGCTCTTGAGCTCGGGGCAGCTGTTAGGCCTGGATCCACCAATGTGGACCTATTCTACTCTCCTTCCTGGGCGACAAGAAGTTCATGTTTGGCCAGGACGGGGTGTTTTTGGGCTTGGGTTGTTTTGACGACAGTTGAATGTAGGAACCGGATTGATGACTCCCAAATTCTAAACCGCCAAAGTAAGAGCACGCAGAGTAATGAGAACGAGGGCTTCTTCATCAGGTTGCTACGCTACATCACCGCCTTGGCTTTGAGTGCCATATGTTGTTTGAGGCATTTCGACAACAGAGTCAGATCGGGCGTTTAGGAGGTCTTCCCGCTACCTTGGTATTGAAATTCCTATATGAGTATACAGCCCTCAACATTTTCAAGCTGTACTTTATTTGCTGGGTCGTCCTACGGTGGAAGATTTAGAGTGCCGGATTTCGGAGCCAAGTTCGGGTTTCAGAGGTCACGGCCGAAAAAATCTACGCAACGCCATGCTAGGATGATGAAATGGTGAAAAGTTAGAGCCACATACGGTTACCTTACATTATCTGGCGAAGCTCCAACTCGGCGAAGAAGCCTAGACTCAGGATCCGATGCCGGATATTCTGCATGTGGGGAAATCTGATTCCAGGACTTCTCGGCAGTGGATGTCGTCGTGGGTGTGAACATGCCACTCAGATGTCTGATGCCCAAAGCCCTAAGGCACTAAACCCACAAAGCCGATTCCCGGAAACCCTCCAGGGTTAAACCCCCTCTGTGGCCCGATTACGGCACACATGAGGCTCTCCCAATAGAAGATCCCTTCCGCCTGAAGAGTGAGCCCTACCCCAGATCCGAAACCTGCCTAACATAGGCCCCGAGTAGAGGGATCTTATGTAAGAAACCTACAAACCTTTAACCCTAAGGACCTTGAAACAGGGATCCCTGGTTCTCTCAAACCCCCAACGAAACGCACGTCTTGCCCTCTGAATCCCAGCTACCCGTTGTTATAGCCCGAGCACCCATGACACGAAGGATCCTGCTCACAAATTATAGGGGCCTGGACAGTTGCAAATAGGTTTCCTTTGGATCCTTTAGTATATTGAGATAATAACAAGCCTCAAAGCCCTGCGTGTATCGTTGCCTCCGTCTTTCTTAAAAAAGAAACTGCGCCCTTGAAGTCGTGTGGAGGTTTAGGGATTAGGGCTCATGAGCTGGGCGAAGTGTGAAGCCTGTTGCAAAGGGCTTATGAGCCAGGCATTACATCCACGTCAAGCGCGGCTGGCACGACTTCCCAGCTTTGGAGGCAGCCGCCCTTGGCCAAGACCTCTACTATAGGGGCTTAAACAATTACAGTAGTTGTCCAATACTATTTTGGGGGTTCCTTACATGAAATTATGACCCCCAAAGCCCTAGTCTAAGTACAAGGCCCGTATATTGGATCCAGCGGCTGTTTGCTTACCGTACTTTCGCAGAAGCTGATATCCCCAAAAAGGGCCTCGCAATCCAGCATCTACCCAGGATGCATAGACCGCGCACTAGTGTAAGGGTCGACATGTTTTCAAACTGAGGATCTCCTCGGGATCCACATGAGAGTATGTATGCTACTCTCACAAGACGGACCCGGAAACAGAGTGTAGTTCTACGGATTGACACTAATTCTTGGAAGAATCAGCGTGTGGACCTTCAAGATTATCGCTGCAAGCTGGAGCCTGAAATCTACTGTTCATCATATAGACAGCATCCCGGTTCCACCCAGCGCCAAGCTGCAAAACCCTCACACCCAAAATAGATCCTCCAAACTGAAATCCGTATAAACAGGACCCCCAAAATAGACCTGTAATTGTTGATGGAAGTGATTCTATGGCCTCACTTCGAACACACCACGTTCTCGGAGGCCTACTTCGAGCGATGCAAGGAGCGTCAGGGCTACCAGAAAGCCTTCACCGTCCGACCGTTCTCGTGAGACGGGATCTGATGCACAGGAGGTGGGGTAAGGTTGGGTCAGGCCCTCGCAGCATGACACGCCCCTCAACCAGTCGTTGCTAGGCTCCGGTTACAATCATCTTACACTCATCCTCTGCTGCGAGATTTCTCAAAGCTTGGGGTCTACAAAAATCGGTTTAGGGAATTTAGGGTTTAGGGAATTTAGGGTTTAGGGAATTTAGTGTTTAGGGGGTTTAGGGTTTAGGCTGCTACCCGTCTCTAAGCCCTGTTTCATCCATCCCACGCAGCAAGACGCCTCGCCTCGACGGCCCGAGTAAATCCCAGCAACGAGAGCTTTTAAGAGTTACGGCTGATGGTATAAATCCTGGGTTCCTTTAAAGGGGTCTATAAGGGTACCTTTAAGGGCTTCCTTTAAGGGCTCTATAGGGTTTATAGGGTTTAGGGCCAGGGATATAAATCCTGCATTACCCATAGTGAGGAATATACCGTAGTTCCCACAGTTTTGGGTCCTCAAGGTAATGCAGGATTTATACCATCAACAGTATCATTGCCTAATATGGCTTATCAGGGTTATCGTTACCTAGTAAGGGTTATCATTACCTAGTAAGGGGATGTCATTGTCTAACAAGGGTCCATGTGCCCAAATAGTATAGACTTTGGCCTGAAACTTGGGCCCTTCGGGATTGCTTGACGGGATGCAGATCGCAACATACACACACACACACATACTGTACGGACAGAAATTGAAACCGAAAAAATGCAGGTGCTGGCCCCGCGAGCAGAGTAGGGCTTGCAGACTCGAGTTTGGGGCGGCCGGTTCATTGGAAGAAATAACGGAGTACGATAGAAGCATGTACGACTGCAAAAGCGGCAGAGGTGGAGCATTCTGTAGCTGCAGCGCTACACCTGCAAGCCTTCATAACCAAATCCCCACCTCAAGCCTTAAAGGCATGATGTGTAGAGTTTAGGGATTTGCGTCTTTTGTCGCTGCTTGCAGCCAGTAGACCCAGAAGCTGTGCTTCAAAAGGGCCAGCCGGATGCTTGGAACATGGGCCATCCCCGGAAGCCTGGGAACCTGTGCGCATCACTTGCGGGTCACTTGCGATCAGGAATAACGGGTTCAGACTTAGGGTTACAGAGCAGTCTTTTGGAGTTTGCCTAAGCTCAGCTTATTTTCCAAGCTGCCGATTGGCCCCTTGGGATGTGACTTGCACAACACAGCGGGCGTGGACAAAAAGCGATACTTGATGTAAGCACCGTCAGGGTGTTGTGGGGGCCCTGAGCCACTAAACCATTGTTGGCCCTAAACGCTGGATTGCAGACTGAGGGTATTGAAGTTCAGTCTTTAAATAGTTTTGAGCACTTGGGTTGATCGCGTCCCTAAGCGCATTTCACGGCCACAGCTGCGAGTCTCAGAAAGCACTGAATCCATATATAGAGATCCCAAAACCTGGCACGCGAACGTCACATGAGGACCAGTACTAACGGGGAACCCGAACTGAGCGACGCCCCACGTTCGAGGAAATCGGGAAGCCAACAATGCTGTTGCAGCGATGCAGGTTGAAGCAGCAGGGAGAAACACCACTGTCAGAGGTTGGGGCTGCAGGGTTCTTTATGCTAGGACAGGATACTTCCTGACACTTAAAACCCAACCCAAAACCCCCCCCAAACCCCTGGGCCCTAAACCCAACTCCCGACCTGAACCGAGCGTGCGACGGCTTCGGGCTTCGGGGTTTGGCTCGCAGATTCCTCCTTTTTAGCTGCTTTCTCCCCCAGCCCGACACAGCGACATAAGTTTCGCTCTTCTCTCGGTTTAGGGGGGAACTCTCATTGGGAGTTTCCGAAAATTAGGGGTACCTTACTTTGGGTCCTTATATTAATCCTACTATTTTGGGTACGAAATGTATTTTCGGAAACTCCCAAATCCCAAACTCCAAACGCAAAAGCCGGAAAATGCTGAAACCCTAATCAAAAGAGCCCAAACCCTGGAGCCCTAGATCCCCCAAAACCCCAAGCAAAACCAGAACCGCAGCAGCTCGTGACTCAGGTAGGGGGCCTTAATAATTAGAATAGGGCTGTAATCATTACATCGTATATTATAATGAAGAACCCCAATACCCTATTCTTACTATTGAGGCCCGTTGTAATCATTATATCTGTATAATAAGGAAATATTCCAATTATTAAGGCCCTTCGTGACGAAGGTCCTCCTACTTCAAAGGCCTTCTGTCCATCACAAGTGTGGACGGCCTTGCCGAGGACTTTCCTTGCGGTGCTTGAGAGTTTAAGGTTTACGGCTTAGGGTAAGGGTTGAGGTGTTGGGATTTGGAGGGCCTAAAGTTCAGGTTTATTGTTGGGGTTTAGGGCTGCAGATTTCTGGGTTTGGGATTTGGGACTGTAGCTTGGTTGAATTCAGAAGCATAATGACTTCCATGCTTCGGAAGTAGGTAGTTGCGACCTGCAATTAAATGTGCACCTTCCTGAGGTCCTGACGCCGAGACTAGTCCACTTACCACGCGTCCTGATGGCTTTCGAGCATCTCGGGTAAATGTTTATGCTGGTGGTGCCTGCTGCGAGCCTAAGCCCTGGACCCTACACCCTTAACCTTCAGCCCTTGATCCACGTTGGCACTAAGCCCTAGCTGAACCCTCATGCCAAACATTTCACACACTTTTGGGCAGGAGATCCAGACGAGTGGGGATTCTTTGGCCTTGCCCTTATCGGCAGTTGAGGTCACCGGGAGCTATAGAGGTCGGAACCGCCAGTAGCATCCCCCTCTAGCCCGCTTATCAATAAAATTCCAGTATACGAACATACCTCCCCAAAACCGGTTTCAAACCAGTCAGCAGTCAGCCCTCCACGGTACAAATCAGGGATTACCACTGTGCGGAGCAAGATAACTCCCTCAATAGTTCGAGGGATGGTTTCGCTGCTGCTCGCTCTTAGACCTAAACTGTAAACCCTGTAAATCCTTAAAGCCGGACCGTGAACCCCTAACTGGGCCATGCAGAACCTTTCTAGCAGAACTTCTGGTTCTTCGAGCCTACAGGGAACAACCGCAGCTTCAGTGCCAGTTCGAAGCTATCTGCAAATGGAGGTTGCGGTCCAGACACAGGATTGCCTAAATAGAGGTCTGCACGAATTTGTGATAGCCTCCTTTGCAGTCCTGCTACAACTGTTGCATACTGTGCCCCAACGCTGAGGTTCACTACGCATAGGCTCAAAAAGGAGATACAAAAGAGCCTATGACCTATGGGTAGCTACTAGTTTAACTTTTGGTTTCGTGCAAAGCTTCCATTTCAGACCTTGTTCCTCGGGAAGCCATCAGCTCAGAAATCTAGCGACGAATCCGAAGCCCTACCTACAGTTAAGCTTTGGGTGTTCCTCATTATTATGATTACCTAGACCCTCCATCTACCCTCTATTAGACCCTAAATGCCCCTTATTTGGGACCATATACCCCTATTTGAGGGTACAAGGAGGGTCCTGGTATTTTACACTTACATAGCTCCTTAGAGAGATCGGTGGTCTGGCCGTCATCAAAATGGGCCAAGGAGGTCTACGAGAAGGGTACTTCAATGGCAACGCCGTCTGCCTTCTTCTGTGCAGTGTTCAGGACGGGCCAACCTGGGCCTCTTACCTTTGCTTAGGCGTACTTAAGAAATACTTGTTAATTTTTGGTTATTATAATCCGTAAGACACAGCTAAAATTTTAGTTTTGCTAGGGTTCTAAGTTCAGTATAGTTTGGTTAGTAGGGAATGGAGGAATGGGGCACCATTATAACTACTATTACTACCATTCTTCCATTCCCTACTAACCAGCTTCTCTTCTTGTGTAGGATGTTTAAGGACCTTATGTGGGTTTGTTGGTACCTTGGTCAGGTTGTTCTACAGCTAGGATCCTAGAAAAAGCAAGGAAGTCGGATTTGCTGTTTAAAAACATCTGGGATCGCTCTTGAAGCATGGAAGTTTGGGATTTAGCGCCGCTGGCGTGTCTCACTGGAAGTGCTGAGGATGCTTCAAGTGAGTTGCCGCAATCTAGCATGCAAGCTTTAATGAAGAGGGATGTAGCTATCGCAACTTATCGTACTTCCACAAGGGTTTAGAGTTTCGGGTTTTGGTCTTAGTTAGTCGCTTAAACCCTACATCCCAGTCGAACCCCGATGGTTTCCAGCTTTGAGCAGTGCTCTATTGACTCTGTTGGAGGTGATTCCAGTAGTCCGACGGATTCCCAGAAACTTTGAGAGGCTTCACAACTTGGACCACACCGAGGAGGCGGCGCCGGAGTTTTGGATTCCTGGTATATACAGTTACATGTATATGTGTGTATATATATATGGGCCTTTGCACCGAATATGCAGCAGCTAGTTGGATTCATGGACAGCTTAGGGCCCGGGAAGTTTATCAAGGGTTTCGGGCTCAGGGGGATGTTTACGGTGATTCCTGGCGTGCGCACGCCTTTCCCGTGCGCTGGAATCTCGCCTTCAAACTTCATCCAAATGATGCTACGTTTTAGCAGGAAGGTTCCGAAGCCTAACGTCGCCCGTGTACGGCATGTTGGTCATTACGCAAGACGCAGTTCCAAAACCACACAAAACCAGCTCTGCCCCGCATATTCCGGAGATGGTGATGGTGTTGTACTTTTGTCAGAGGGGCGTCGTGCCGCCTCCCGTCCTGGCCCTGTCTCCTGGCCTTCCCAAGTCGTTTGGGGCTTCCTGGGACACCTGAACCCCAAGCCCTCAATCCTAAACTTCTGTCAGTTGGGCGGGCAGACCTTGCAGCCTTGAATCCTACAACCCGAAGCCGAAATCTGAAACTTCACAACCCGCAACCCTAAGGTTTTTTAATCCTACAGCCCCAAATCTTAATTCGCTTTTGTAACAAAGCTCTTGTCGGCAAGTGTCCAGCTTGAACGGCGGTGTTGGACAGTTCAATATACCGGGTTTACCGTTCTGAGACTTAGGATTTCGGTAGTAGGGTTTGAAATCAAGTGAAGTTTAGGTTGGGATTTACAGTCAGGGTTTAGGGTCTCGGGCAGCCGAAGTCAAAAACATTTCCTAAGGGCCTTGAGAAACTGTTTGCAAACCTCCTCCATATATTGCACATTCCACATGGAGCCACGGAATAGTTCGCTTGGCACACCCTGAAGAGCGAACAACTGGCAGCTCAATCCTGGGGCCCCCCAAAAGGAACATCTTACTGAACAACTTTCTTGCTTGTGGATTCCTGACTGGGGATGAAAATATGGGAGTTTCCGAAAATGAGGGGTACCGTTTTTTATGGTCCTTATAACAAGGGTCGTACTATTCAGGGTGCCATATTGGGGTCCCCTATTTTTCGGAAGCTCCCATATAATCGTAGCATCCAGATCCGTGTTTCAAGGTCTCGCTTCCCTTAGTATCGGTGGCAGAAGGAGCTTCAGATGCTGTTGGACCATCCTGACTATGTCATCGCTCGCTGTGTGGGTGCCTGCCAGCCTGGATTCCTCGGCTTGGGGTTTACGGTTACAACCCATGAAGATTGCTCCCGGATCACCCGGAGCCTATAGTCGTTAGCCCTTTATCCTGCACCTCGTCACAACTGCAGAGAGGGTATTAAAAGTCTTTGGTTTCGAGTTTGGGGCCCCCGAAGAAGGCACACCCATCCTTTTGTTGGAGGCATATATATATATATATGATATATGTATATGTATATGTATATGTATATATATATATATATATATATATATGTATATATATATATATATATATATATATATATATATATATATATATATATATATATATATATATACATATATATATATATGTATATAGAGATCTTATACCAACTTCTGCTGCGCAGCTTCGCTGCAGTGCCTTAACCTCGCAAGCGGAGCACGGTACCAACAACTATGTGGAGAGTTAGTACGTTTCAACATGGCAGTCTTCGCAAGCATGCCCCACTGCAGCGTGGTTGCCATTTGTCAAGACATAGCTCGGCATGGTGAGTTTCCAAGCTTCTATAACCCATGCATGTTTGCAGTTGCGCTCACCCTGACCGAGACCGCACAAGATCCTTTACGACCTGTTCCATAAACCTAGAGAGAGGGAGAGAAGCCTAGGATGCTCTTATCAATCCCTTGCAGAACCCCAGCTCCCGAATCCCTAGGAAAACCCCAAGCCGAACGCCTACCTGGACCCTATAAAACCTGCCTTTTCCGGGTTCCCTATTATGATTTCACGTTCACCAGGCTTCCTCTTCGCTCGCTTCACGATGAAAGCGGATCGACTGTGGGATGCATTGGAGGACGTTCTATAGGATTTCCATAGGCTTTAGCATTTTTGTTTAGGGTTTCTATAGGGTTTGCATCTTTGTGTAGGATTTCTATAGGGTTCAGCGTCTTTGTTTGGTTTCTATGGGGTTTGTATCGTTCTTGTATAGGGAGTCTTTAGGGTTGGCAACGCCTTTCTATAGGGTTTAGGGCTTAAGGCCCTGAGATTCCAACTTGCCGGCACACATAGAGCCCCAAACCCTAGACCTTAAACCCGAAAAACAGTTCTAAACCCTAAAACCCTAAACCCGACACCCCTAATCCTTAACCCTTAAAACCCTACAAACACCTAAAACCCTAAACTCTTTGTGGGAGGAGTATATGCTCGATGAGATGAGTCTCGGAGCGTTCCGAGACGGCCGCTTCGATCGGAGATTGAGGGATTTGTTGGGTGCGATTTTGGGTTTCAGGGTTTGGAGCTTCGGGTTTATAGGGGTTTAGGAGTTTTGGAATTTAGGGTTTAGGGTTTGGGGATATAGCGTCTAGGGTTTGGAGTTTAGGGTATTTGTTGTTTAAAGGGGAAGCAAGGGGTTTGGGGTGTGGAGTTCCGTGAGCATGACTCACGTAGCCTCCTCCCTATGCACACAGTCCCAAGTCATCACCCCCAATGCCTCGCCACAACACACAAGCTACCTAATCTCCATTGTGTTCCTTTTTTTGTTAACCAAAATCTCTATTATAGGATCCTAACCATAAAACTGGTTAACCAAACAAAGGAACCACAATGGAGACTATAGGTAAGCCCCCGGTGCGGAAACCGTGCTTTCAGGCTCCATGCCAAACACAATCGGCGAGTACATTGAGCATCTCTTGCTCAAGGAGCCTGCTCGAAGGTTCTTGCAGAGTACTGTAACTTGTGGGACTACAAGCTCCCTCTGCAGACTCTTGACCACATACCCAGAGAGACCAACAACGCGTAATCGAGGAATGTGACCCATTTCGGGGCCTTAATATTACGGTGAGGTTGTTTAAATATGTGGTGGCCGGGTCAAACGGCAATGGGTCAGAGGTAGTATGACGTATCTGTTTTATATTCTCCATATCTTTAGTTCCGCAAATCTGTGCCGTAAACACTGCATTTTGTGCGAAGTGGGGCTCTCGCAGAGTCACGGTTTAGCGTGGTTTTAGGGTTTAGGGTTCAGGTTTAAGGGGAAGCAGCAGCAGGAGAAGTATTGCGGAACGCCGCTCCCCCGTCTTCCTGTGACGGCCCGTCGGCGGTTGGAGGACTCCTGCAGCAGTTTTTTTAGGGGCTTAGGGTTTAGGGTTTAGGGTTTTTGTTCATGTTCAAAGGCCTTCTGCCCAGCTGAAACCTGGAAAACAGATTGCTCTATGGTTAGGGTGCTGTAACCAGTTAAACGCCAAGGTAGCAAGAAGGGAGTACATGTAATATTGTAAGGTTCTAGGTCCGGCATGGGTCAGGATCGGTGAGGTCCCAGATCTTCCCGATTATCCAACGATCGTGATGATAGCTTGTCAACAGGAGATCTGAGCTGCCCGAATGGACGATCGTGTTCATGTTTTCTGGCTTTTTCTGGCGACTTAGACCCTAAATGCATACTAAACTTACTTAACCTGAAGCGAGACATCCAACAGAAGATGCTTCCCACGGAGAGATCTATCCACGATGAGCCACGGGAAAGTAAGTGATCGATGCTACCCGCTCTCATCTTTCATCCGCGCTCGAACGCCAAGTGTGCTGGCGATACCCAAGCCCACATCTTCAAGACAGGTGAGCATGGAAAACCATAAGCCTCTTAACCCTAACCCCATGGGCAACTATAGAGCTTGAAACCTTCAGCAGCCCTCCATACCTAAACCCTAAGCCCTAAAGCCTAATACGTGTTTGGGGTGAAGAGTATCTCGTGATCTCCCTGACAGGAGCACATCGCCCCCCTTGCACAGCATCGTGCCCCGCCCTTGTTTCGGCCGAGAAACTTAGGTGAAGGCTTAGTTTAACCCGGAATAACCTACCCTTTGAGGACTTTTGTAAAGTTATTCAGGGTTAAGGCTCAGGGCCTAGGGTTTCGTCTAAGGTTTGGGGTTTAGGGTTTAAGGAGGGGCAGTTCGACTCCGGAGTCCTTCCCGCAATGCAGATCTCACCCAGGACAACGCCTCAAAGCTAGAAATTGCCGAATCAGCTGAATTCTCAAACATATGGCGCCATAGAGCATGCAAATTTAGACTGGTTTTGGCAAAGGGTTTTGTCGATTGCGGGGATCCTGCGGACAGGAAAGTGTCCGCACCATCTGCACTTCAACGAACGAAAATGTCCTGGTAACTACCTTTCGCGACATTGTACACAAGACTTATTTAAATCCTTGTCAGCTCATTACATCAACATCCACAGAAAACACTCCGAGTTTGCCGGCTTTGGGCTGCTTTGCGGCTGCATGTGCGAGAAACCCTTCCCCGCACTCCCTGTAACCCTGAAAGCCCCAAAGGCGCAAAGGGCCCCCAGAGATTCCAATATTCCAGAATTAAGGAATATATGTATACATATATGTATATATATATATATGCCTTAAAGTATAGTAGGATCCCCAACATGATTTAAGGACAAATTCTTCCTTCAGGGATATTGGAGTCGCTGGCTCCTAGGCCCGCAAGCCCTAGAATGCCAGGGAAGCGTGCTGCAGCGAACCGTCGAGAGCTTGAGATCTTTCGAAAGCCGGGAACTACCGTGGAGATCGCTGAGGCTCCGACAAGGGATGAGACGTCGGGTTGGGGTCGGAAGAAATTGCAAGAATATCCCTTAAAGTTACCGATGTTGACATGCTTGTGTTTATACTACCAGGACCAAAGTCCGAAACTTATACTCTGAAAGGATATATTGCGGCCCTTCTAATAGCAGACCGGGGCTTTGGGGGTTTATCATGCTTGTTACTTAAGGTCTGGTGCGAATTGGCCTGCTGTAACAAAAAACCTTGGGATCAGCTGCAGCATGCAGACTTCGAATATGGGGGTTACCCCAAACCCTGCCAAACATCGTGGCCCCCCCAAACCCTAAACCCTATGTCAGCTCTGTAGTCTGACCAGTCGAAACACTTCTGAACCGAGAGACCTAGTCTGGCGGAGTCCGAGTTACGAGAGCGTGAACCCTAAGTTCGAAGCCCGAGTCGGTCATCGAGCCTAAAGTTCTGAGCCGTACTGTCGAAAGGCCGTCAACACCACCAGTGCTTCATTTGGCTTCACAGATTGAGATTCCTTGCACTGTCAGATTCCCAAACGTACCTAGACGCTGAACTGCAGTGCCTGACGTTTCTCTTGGTTGAACCCGAACATCTACAGACAGGCTGCTGCAACGTCAGAGAGAGACGGAGGGAGGCTGATACTTACAATCCCCAAGGCCTCATTCCGCATCTCCAAGACCACATCCCCAAAGTTGAACCCAAACCGCATCAATTTAACTCCTGCTACTGTAGTTCGCCAGCACTCCAGAAAGGCCCCCTAAACTGTATACTAGACGTACCTACCCTGCATTCATTTAGGCCTCTTAGCTCAAAAGCAGGACGGGGAGTGGCTAACCGGCAGCGTGCTGGAGCTGAACGACAGCGTCCCCTCGCGTCTGAAAGTGACGGTACAGCTGCAGGAGCCTCGCAGGGGCGTGGGTTCTGTTTGAAGAGACCACCTTCTTCTGCTGAGGGCACCCAAGTTCAAAGGTTTACGACTAGAGTTTTGCAGTTCAGGGACTCTGAACCGTAAGCCCTACATCAGGACAGGGAGTTCCCACTGCCCAGGCCCTAGAACGACCGACGTGTTTCAAGCTGTCCTGATCTCATCATCACCTTTGTAGTAAGCAAGGGGGCGAACAGTAGTGTTTTAATTGTGACGGCGATTCTCTCATAAGCCTAAACCTCTACCCCAAAACCATAAACCTAAAAAACTCTCAACCCTAAGCCGTACTGTACCCTTTGTAGAGGTCTTTCCGGAAACAGGCCCCGCGGTTTACACACGGCCGTGCTTTGCGAACAGGAAGGCAACATCACCACAGTGCACCTGGGGAAGGCGATATTGAAAGAAGAAGGCACCACGGCATACCCTTAACCCGAATCTGAGGGGTGGAGTTAGGAGAACGGCAGTTTGGTGTTCCCTCTTTAAGGCTCAAGACCAGAGTCAGGGCTCCCAAATCACAAAATCTTCATCCACAACTCCTGAACCCGGACATCATGCTGCCCGATAGAAGCCGTCGAACATCCAACCTTGGACTGCTGCTCACTACTGGTGCACAGCTTCTGCCTCAAACCATCTCCAGACAGCGAGGGTTTTCAGCCCAACAAAGAAGTCCTGCACCCTCCAAAGCTCATACACTTCGATGTGTGATACACTTTACTACTTTGCAATAAAACCCAATAGAAGCTTGACTCATTGCAAAAGTTATTCCCCAGGGCTCCTTATTGCAACTGTACTAATTACAACATACCACGAATCCATTTGATGAAGGCCCCCGTGAATGTACTCCGCCTTTGGGTGCACCACCAGGACGACCCTCTCAATCTCAAATCCCCGAAGGACTGACCCGCAAATCCGAAACCCCGGCTACATCCATAAACTCCCAAACTAGACACCTAAAGCTTCAATCTGAGAGCTTGGACAACCCTTTGCCGGACTCCTACTTTAGGGGCCTTAAAAGTTACCTATACTATTTTAGGGTATCCTTATTATATATATATATATATATATATAGTGTAGTGAGCCCCAAAACCCTACTCCAATTATTAAGGCCCCTATATTACCTTGCTTGAAGACCTGGCGAAAGGTTCCGAAGATCAGCGAACTCGCCGGCGAGGCGGGTCGCCGGACTGGTCCAGGCTCGAAGTCGGTGCTTGGGGTTTTGGGTTTGCGGGTTTAGGGTTCAAGGTCTAGTGTTTAGGGGTTTAGGGTTTAAGGTTGAGGGTCTAGGGAGTCTAGAGTTTAGGGGTTTAGGGTTCAGGGCTCAGGGTTTAGGAGTTGGGGTTTCGGGTTCAAGAGGGTTTAGGGTTCGGGCTGCGGATTTGGTAAGGCTTTGGGGCTTGAACCCTTTTGGTTTTTGGGATGGTTTAAGGCTTAGGCTAGCGAGGGTAAGTTTCGGGGCTCAAGATCTTACACCGACCGAGTCGGCATGGAGTCACTGGTGTTGTTTGTTACTCCGTGATTGTACACGTATCTGTGATGCATAATGTCAGCAAGTGTGGTAGTCTTCGTATGCGCTCATCCATCATCCAACTTCGCGATCAAACGATACATGTAAAGCGCTGTGCCTGAAGTCTGGGTGCAAAGTGCAGCAGCCTGGGTATGAGGGCATGTGCACCGCAACCCTTCTGAAACAGGGCAGTGGGTTGAGTCTCAGCAGCTCAGATCTAGTCTACGGGCCTGAAGATCAGTCGTGACATTCCTCAGGGCTTCCCTTACAAATAATACATACATACCTGCCAACCTACGTACCTACACAGATGCGCACATACAACTGTACGTGCATGATATGTTCCTAGCTAGCTAGCCAACTAGCTACCTACTTACCTGCCTACTAATACCTACTTTCTGACATATGTACACACACATACACACTTGCACACATGAATGCATGCGTGCAAGCATACCAACATACCATATGTACGAACATATTTGTATTTATAGGATCTTATTGGTGTAGATATCAGATATGTTCTTCGTCTGTATCTGTATCCATATTCAGCTTAATATAGAGCTGTGTGTGTTTATGTATACATGCACCAAGCAAAGCATAACATCGCAGGCACAGGTCTGTTCTTAGCCTCTTCAGGGTCCGATCCTCGTTCCGAGCTGCCGTGCTGTTGAATGTAACTTGGGTTTACATAGGGCCAGTGCAGGGTTCAGTTTCTAGCCTTAGGGGCGAATTAACTTGTAATGTGACCTCTGTGACGCACCCCAAAACCCTATATATTTAATATTTACCATATTAAATAAAAACGCATGTATACATATATATATATATATATATATATGAGTCTAACCCTGTAAACCACCGCGTACGCTCGTCATCACGATCACCGCCACCATCAACATCATGGCCACCCTGAGCTGCAGCATTACTCATCACGACAACTATCGCCAGCAAAATATCGCGAGCATCAGCAACAGCGAAGTCATTACCTGCCTCATGATTTCTGCAATGTGAGAAAGAAATCAGGCACGAGACGAGAGACTAGCGATAGAAGCAGCAGTGAGATCGAGCAAAAACTCGAGTAGTATCTCTTCGCAGTGACTTGAAACTCAGGCTTTCCACAGCAACACCACGAACGGCAATTCATCCAACACACAGCTTGCCTGAAGCAAAGTATGCCTGAACATCTTTAGCGACTTCACTACTTGGCTCGTATCTTCTTGCAAAGGTATGCCTTGGACATGCCTCAAAATCCCATTCCAAAGTTTTGAGACCGTGTACTGCCCCCAAGCCCAAGACAGGTGCAAGGGCAAATCGGAGTCTGTCCTTCTGCAAGAGCTGCGCGGTCACGCCAAGGACTCTTTCCTGTGGTTTTTCGCGGGGAGTGTGCAGTTTGTTGACGTGAAACTTTAAACCCGAAATCGCTGGCAAATCGAGAAGTGTATCAAAAAATCGCTGGCAGGAAACAGCACTGCTAGGATTAGAGTCTAGCGGGTTACGATTGAAGCATCATTGACTTGTATCGGCTTAGACTTTTGTAGACAGTGAGAGACCAGGCTGCAAAGTGCGGCTACGCAGTGGTGGGCTCATAAGCCGAGTGCGGCGTTGTTTGTCGAGTTCTGCCCCTAGCCGCCCAACCCAAAGCCCTGAAACCGCACAACAATCTTCGGAAAACCAAAGTCCTAAACCCTAAACCCTCAACAAAGCTCGGGAGTTTCGAATCTACCGAGATGCCTAAAAATCCTAGGCTCCGGCTATCTTTAGCTTCAGTGTGCCTGCAAGGGCTGCAGCGGGCTAAAACGCTGAGCATTCGTTGCTTCAAGTATGCGGGTCTCCGGCTTCGGTGTGCAGTTTGGCGCCTGTGAGGTTTGTTTTCTTCGTGTCCAGGTTTTTGTGCAAGTTATGTACACTTCTAAATCAGACTTTGTGCACGTCAATCTCAGCAAATCTGACAAGGTCTGGGATTCGGCGCAAGAGACTGTAGCTTTCATATGGCCTGTATCTTCGTCATGCTGCTGAAAGCAGTTGACGCGGGGTCGAAATAGCCAGTAATAGCATGCTCGGCTATAGTCCCTATATCAGCAGTCTGGTATACCTCCAGAACCTGTTCCAAATCATAATAAGGCCCTTGTTTGACCAGCTACAGTAGTTGTTGTTCAATGTCCCCATATGTTTGTTGTCATTCTGCGCGACTTGGAAGTGCAGACTACAGAATCACCGTCCCCCGCGGCTCATCCAAGAAAGATATGCTCTAGGATATCCAAGACGAGCGCCTTTCCCCCCGCAAAAAGCATTGTGATAAAGAGGGATGCGTCATATGGTTTATTAACTTATAACTTTCTCAATAGGAGGGTGGTGGGCTGGGTGGGATACACCTGCTACTCATGATCCCAACCCTAGGGCATATTAACTTTTCCCCGACGCACTAACTTTGATCTTTAAACCATGATGAGGAGGAAGCTGTCTGTGGTAGCGGTCGGCGCCCCCAGCTGCATGCTGGAGTCGTGTAAGGTTTTGGTTATAACCCTGGAGGCACCAGAGTAAGAGGACCTTCTGCTAGTGAACCCAGAAAGTTGGAACATTAATTTAGGATGATTCGTGCTGGGATTCCCTATGCTTTACCTAAAGGGCATGCGGATAATAATGTTCCAAATTTCTGGCTTCTACTGTAAGGGCGGTCTGCGAAGAGGGATTTCCGAGAACTCTGTGTTTCGGAGCTTCTGATTTGGGCGGAAGCTTTTGACATGCTCTTTCGCTTCCAGATGTCTCTGCCGAACTGCGGGGGGTGGTGCGAACTTCTGCGAACATGGGGTCTTCGAGCATCCCAACAAGCACCCAGCACCTGGATCCTTAGGCAAAGACTACGCCAAGCGCCCCCAGGCGTTTGAGGTGCGGCGCCCGAGCCGGGAGTTTAGAGTTTACCCAGGTGCAGCGAGTTTAGAGTTCACAGTAGGCAAGGGTTACCGCAATTGGGACCAGTGTGGATTTTGGGCTTCAGGAGGGGGTTTAGGTACAGTAGGCAGGGTTTAATCAAGACCTGTGTGGGATTTGGGCTTCAAGAGGGGGCTTAGGCTAGAGGTTTAGAGTTTAGGGTAGGGGTCAATTAGGACCTGTGTGGGATGTTGGCCTCCAAAAAGGGTTCAGGTTTTTGGTTTAGGTTAGACATTAGGGGTTTAGAGGTTTGAGGTTTAGAGCCAGCGTGGGGCGGTCTATAGGGGAGTTTCCGAAAATAGGGGACCCTGGTATAGCACCCCAGATAGTCGGATCCTTATTCTAAGGACCCCAAAATAAGGTATCTCTAAATTTCGGAAACTCTACACCCTTATAGGGCCCTTTAAAGGAACCCTTATAGTTTCATTATAGTAACCTTTTGAACGAACCCTAGGGTACCCCCGAAAAATTTGAAGGGTCCCTTACTTTCCTGAAACTTCCGTTTCATTCGCAGGTGGGCTTGGCGAAACGACGGGAGCAGGCCAGGGAACAAAAATGCCGCCAGGTTTAGGGTTTCTTGGGGTGATATGGGGTTTGGGGTGTAGGCTTTAGGGTTTAGGGGCCTGGGCTGTAAAGATATGCTGTGGCCCTACTGAGTTCCCAGGTAGTTGACAGATTCCTCCCTTCCAGGAGAAAAACAAGGTACTTCAAGGATCATGGGGCTTAGTAACTAGGGTTATAATGAGGGTAACTATACTTATAACCCCAATTAGGGTACTTATAACCTTACTTACTAAGTCCCAAGATCCTCCAGGTATACACCAACTTGGACAGCCGAAGCCCAGTGCTCTGATCTTTGGTTTAGGGGTCTGGGGTTTAGGGTTACCTTTTTTGTCTTTGTTACCCGTATTGCTGGCAGCACGGTTGTGATCTGCAGCCCTTTCGTCATTGGTACCGCGCTCCATTCCAACGGCCCCCTCCCGGAACTGTACCAAAGGGAGATGTTTCATGCAGAAGGCGAAACTTATGGGAGCTTTGTCCTGAACTCCTGCACCCAAATGTCTGACTCTGCTGCAGGTTTGTGTGTGCACTGCAGTCCCTCTCAAACAAAGGTGCCACTGGCCCCTAAACTGACGCTAAACTCGTCTAAGGTTCATGCAATTGATGCTTCTGTTTCTATGTATTTTTTTTTTTTGTGTGTGTGTGTTGGTTGGGTTTATGGTTTCCGATCGATGGTAAAGCCAAAAGAGTGGTAAAACCTGCATATGCAAGCTGTTGACATGACCATACCGGCGGTTGGAATTGACAAGACACTGGACAGGGCTCCGCCGAAAGCCAGATGCAGCAGGAGGATACCACCCATGCCCGGCAAAAGCGTCGAAGTGACAAGGAGACGTTCTTTGGGTATTAGGGGTTGGGTTTGAGGGTTCAACGATCAGAAGAGTTTCCTCAGAGCCACGCACCGCCCAGCCCTGTCTGAACTTGCAGCCGAAAGCCTCCTAAAACTGCGGTTGTTTGCGCATCTGTTCATGTATGCAATGTATGGCTGGATCCACGAGCCCGTGGAGGAAGTTGAAATGCTTTGGTGCCTACCACAGAATGTCAGTCTGTGGCATGTTGAATCGTGACAATTGCTGCATCATTTGATGGAGGCTTTCTTGACTTGGGAGTCGAGAGCTCTCTTTGTTGGATCCTACACCGTAAGCCCCACACCTACAACATGCCACTGTGTATTTGTGAAGCCCTTGCTGATGCTATTGCAGAGCAGCCCTACCAAAATCCAGAGCATGTACAGTCTTAGCAAAGCAGCAAGGTTTCAGAGTTCAACATTCAGCAGGTTGAATAGAGACACCAAACACACAGGATAGTAGGGTTACCGCCGTTCGGAGGATGCTGAAGCAGATCGAGAATCGAAGATGCTGCGCCGGAGCACAGACGAAGAGAAGGCAGCACTCGGGGAACGTGGCTCTGCGCCCTGTATCGCCGGATCGAGGTAGTGAGTGACAGGTTTCCTCCATCTTCCTTTCCTACCCGAAAGCCCTACAAAGCCTGTACTATAACTGCTCAGGTTGACATGTTAGCGTCCTGGCTCATGTTTACCATGGCTGTCGCAGGGAGTCTGAGTGGTTTTCCAATTGCCGAATACTATCTGTAGCAAAGCCGGCTAAACAGCGACACCGCTGGCATTGCCACCAGCTCGAAGCATCACAGCACAGCGTTTGGCAGGAGCGACAGCGCTACTCCAAGCAAATCTTCGCCCCATGTCGACCATTGAGGGTTTTTTTTTTTATTTGGGGTCTCATCACAAGTCGAGGTTTTGGTATTATGCTGTGCCTATCACTCTCTCCGTCACATGGTCTCGGCATCAGCTCGGATTAAGCACATAAGACAAAAGGGGGTTCGGTTTTAGAGCTTGATGTTTAGATGTGAGATGCCGAGCTTTTGAAGGTTTAAAGGGATGATGGATGCAAAAAGGGTTAAACGGTTTTGGGGAAGCTTTCGGTTTTGATGCGTTTTAACCCTCCCTGGTCTCTTGGCTGTGATTTGCAGATTCCTTCCGAAGTCCCAAAAACAGTAGCAACTGGATTTTCTGGCGGTGTGCCAAGGAGAAGTATGGCCAAGTCCGGTCGCGTCCCAGCACTGGGACGGCGCAGGACGATGATGTGGATCGAATTCAGCTGGGCTAGACCACCATGCATAGTAATACACAAGCCTGGGTACATAATTAATTAGTACTGATATCCCTGGGGGCTCCTCGTTTGTGCTACCTTGTAATAAACCCCCAAATCCCCAGTCTAATTGAAAGCCTTCCATACATACATACCTCTGACCATGGGGCTTTCTATGAAGTCGATACCCTAAACCCAACGCCCCCAAATCCCCTAAACCCGAGACCCTCATAGGTTCTGTAGGGTTTCATAGAGGGATTTAGGCAGGTGGATCTCCGGAAACATCGGGAAGTCTTATGTCTTATGGTTTGGAGTTTAGGGTGTCGCCCACTCAGAATCCTAAGCGATAGCTTCACGTTTCCGTGTTTTTTCGAGCTTGGCTTCGAAATTTCGTCTAGGACCTTAAACCCTGAACCCCAATGAAACCCTAAACCCTACCTAAGGACCCTAGGTCTTAGGATGTCTACGCCGTCTCACCACTGACTCGCTTGACGTCCCTGACGCCAGAAGTTTAGACAGGCCGGCTCACGCAGAAAGGAATCCTTAAAGGAACCCTTAAGGAACCCCGAAATAAATCCCAGGGTAACTGTATCACAAGATACCCCCCCAGCCACTATGTTAGATCTGTTGGGCATGGATGCAGATGGCAGTCGCAGAAGGGCCGGAAGTACTGCCCAGAACTCCCAAAAACAAAGGCGTCGTCCTGCTCATTGCTGTCGAAACCCTGAGGCGTATACAGGTCGTGAGTCGTCGGAGACCAGACCCGTGCTGAATTTCTCCTCCGAACCCATTCTAAATGCCGAGGCCTCTATATGAGAGTTTCCGAAAACAGGGGACCCTAATATAGTACTCTAAATAGTAGGATCCGTGTTATGCGGACTCCAAAATGAGATACCCCTCATTTTCGGAAACTCTAAACCCTTATAGAGCCATTTAAAAGAACCTTTATAGTACCCTTATAGTAACCCTTTAAAGGAACCCTAAGGTACCCCTCATTTTCGGAAACTCCCATATCGAAAGCTAAACCATGGTCTATCCTTCAACGTTTCAAGGCCCTACTCGACTATCCTGAACCGGCTTTTCGTTTCCGTATTCCCGGCTCTATCCGAAAGCATGCCTTCGGCTCCATGTTCATGTTGTATTGGGGGAGAAGGGCCTGAGAAGGAAGTGCGTTTAGTAACTGAGGTGTGCTGGAATGCTTGTGGCATTAACGAATTAAGTAGGTCTGGTCGGATGCATGGAATGGCCAGAGGGCCACAGGGCTTGACGATGTAATCCTGCACAGTAGCTGGAGTCCTCACAGTCCTGACAAGCCGAACACCTGAAAGACTCCGAGAGGAAGCCGGGGAACACCTGCCAAAAAACTAAAGTCGTGCGCCTTAAAAAAAATATATATATATATATATATATATCCAAAACTCAATAATTACCCTAAAACACTCGAGATATCCCCTGGGCCGTGACGCCGATAACCAACAAAAAATGTTGAATGCCCGGAGCATCCCTAAACCCTAAAACCTAGCCTTTAGCCTTCAGCGACACTGACACCCTAAGCATCCAAAGGCTCTGACGAGCCTCACACCCAAAGCACCCCGCTGTACAAAACCCTTCGAAACCCTGCTGCACGCATCTTTATCATACCTCTTCTTCGTATAATTATGACTAACTAGTATGACTTCACTTTTGTTGCTAATTACTATCAGTGTTATTTCCGTGGTCATTATTATTACGACTATTCATCTTCTTATTGCTGTTGTCATTATAAGAATTGTTCTTATTATTCAATAATATTTTATACTACATAATAATTAGTAATATTATATATTATATATTCCAAGTTTCATTATATAGACTTCTATGTTTGTCGTACCTCCACAAGCCACTCTCGGCGCTGAGGCCGGGCATCGTCGTTTTGAGCTCTGCGCTGGGAGCCTGCAGAGGCCTTGAAGTAATCTAGGTTTTACTTAGGGGTACTTAGAAATATTTTTTTGGTTGTTGGTTATATAATCCCTAAGAAACAGCTAAAATCATGATTTTTGCTAGGGTTCTAAGTTCAGTATAGTTTAGGGTTCAGGGTTTTAGGGCTCAGGTTGTAGGCTTCGGGTTTTAGGGTTCAGGGATGTTCAAGGTTTAGGGTTCACGGTTTAGGGTTTAGTTGGAGGGTTGCAGCTTTAACGGTTCCAAATATTAATATGTACCTGTAGGGCTTCTTAGTTGACATTTAGGGCTGAGGGTTCAGCCTAAACTGTTACCAACATGAATCGCTGGGGTTCCTTATTATAACTGGTTTAGGGTTTGCAACTTCCCAAGCCAGGATGCAAAAAAAGGGGGAAGCCCAAATAATTGCCACAAAGTACCAACATGAATCCTTGGGGCTGCTTGTTAATAACTGTTAGGCCCCTACAGTAGGCTTCTGCTTTTCATGGTTGACACCTCGGTGTGGAAGTGCTTGCTGTTTTGTTTGTTTAGATGAGGGTGGTGGGCTTTCCTTACGACTTTAGGACTGGAAAGTGTTACCAGGTTGAAGGTTGTTGAGTGGTGTACTTGTTCACTTTTTCGTTCGTTTGGGTTCTGGGTCCTCGTATAGCATACAACTTGCACAATAATTTATCTACTGTTTCGGCAGGCGACAGCATAATGTCTCAGGGGTGTTGGAGAGTTTCGTTTTTGTAGGAGGATCTGAACTTAGTGCGGCAGCAGGACTGGTGATGCGATACCTTATATGAACTATGAAAGTAAGGTTTGCGGCACCGTCCGCTCGTAATTGCTTGGTCGTAAGTTTCTCAGCAACATTTCTTGATGTCATGCTCATCCTGCAAACATATGGACTTGTTGCAACGGCCGCCAAGGCCATCAACATCCCGATTGTTAGATACTGATTGCATCATCCGGTGCCTACCTCACCCGCAACCGAACACCAAACTCATTTCTCTCTGTTGTGGTGGATTGCAGGAAAGGTGGCCTGTTGGGCAGGTAGTTCATGGTGTGGTTTTGGCAGTGCCGGTCACCCGAAAAGGCGTTAGACAAGAGTCGCTTGTGTACCGGATTCGAAGCTTTCGGGTTCCTTTTACCTATAGTCTCCATTGTTTTTCCTTTTCTTGTTAACCAGTTTTATGATCAGGGCGCTCAAAACGCAAAGACTGAAGAGCTTCAAACGGGCCGTAGACCTACGATGCAAATGCAAGGGCTGCTGAATCCTGGTCTTGAGCATGGGAACCCCAAGCCGTACAAGCAACGGATTAAGTCCGCAACTGCAACTCACGGAGCCCGATACCCTAAGACACCCTGCTTCATTAATATAAGGGGTACTGGGTTCTTTCGGGAATCATTCAGCTCCAAACAAGGAGGAGACCGCTGGGCCCTGGCTTTGGCTTTGGCCTCGCCCTCGGCGAGGTTTCGGTGTCCCGGAATTGCTTCCGCCAGCTCCAAACTTAAAACTTAAAGCTGAAACCCAAGACCCCGGTGCGAAAGGCAAAGCTCCTGTCGACCCCTGACTGAAACCTTAACCTTAAGCGTCGTGATGGCTGCTTGCCTCGCCGGTTCGTGCTGGTCAGGCAGAAGGCAAACAATAACCGAGCCCGAATCCTGAACCCTAAACCTCCACCCTAACGGCAAACCCTAGACCCCGACTCTCGAATCCCAAGCCTGAACCTCTGAATCTTGAATCACACCCCTGAATCCTGGCCCCTATGCAGTAGAAGCCAGAAAGTTGGAACATCATTATCCTAATTCCCTTACAGGTATAGCATAGGAAATCCCAGCACTAGTCGTCCTAAATCCATGTTCCAAGCTTTCGGGGTTCACTATAAACCCAAGCCAAGTGCCAAGAAACCCTAAATCCTAAACCCTGAGCCCTAAACCCCTAACCCCTAGACCCTAAACCTTGAACCCTAAACCCCTAAACCCCTAAACCCTAAACCTTAAACCCTAACCCGAACCCAAGTGCCCAGGTGGCATCCCTCTTCTCCACCCAACAGCGACCCAACTCTGTGGCCACGACCTCCGCCCTCGCTGCCTTCGGTGGTGAGGGTGCTCCGCTGGATCGTGGTTGAACAGAGGACTTAGGTAGAGCTTAGGGTTTAGGAACTTTAGGTTTTACCTATAGTCTCCATTGTAGTTCCTTTTTCTGGTTAGCCAGTTTTATGGTTAGGATCCCATAGTAGAGATTTTGGTTAACCAAAAAAAGGAGCTACAATGGAGACTACAGGTAGAGTTTAGCTAGGCTTCAACAGGGGATTTAGGTAGAGTGTTCTACCTGGGGTCTCGAGTTTCGCATTCAGGGTTTGGGGTTCAGGGTTTTGCGCTGCAGGGCTGCAGGGTTTAGGTGTAGGGTGTAGTGTAGTGCGTAAATCGGCTTGCTAAGTTGGCAATATCCGTTGCAAAAGTCAGACCTTGTCAAAATCATTCACCTACTTAACTCGATGTATCTTACCTCAATTCAAGTCAGTTCTACCAATCAATCGTTTGAACTGCACCCTTCATGTTACCTGCACTTAGGCCTCGATTGTGCTTTGTTCTTTAAGCTCCAACATCGGTGCAAGGGTCGGGGATGAACACGAAGGTTTCGTAGCTGAGAGTGTTTATGTAGGGGTTCAGAGTCAAGTTAGGGTTTGTGCATTTAGGGTCAGGGAGTTGGGCTTTGTTTCGGGGCTGGGAGTTCGGATTTCAGGGTTTAGGGTGTAGGGCAGTGTAGGGTTAGTCTACGGTGAGCAATCTGATCATCTTCCAGGGTTTATGATTCATGATGCGCAACTTTTAACAGAGACCAGGAGAAAGTCAGATCTTGTGTTCTCTGGGGAGGGTTCAGAGACCCGGGCCTAGACGCGAAACCCGAAGTCCTAGTTTCACTCAGCAGACCTTGCACCATATGCCTCGCCTGGATTGTCCGAGTGCGAGCACCGAAATCCTAAACCCTCAGTCCCAAATCCTGCACTTCCTTCAGCCCAAAGCCTGAATCCGAAACCCTGAATCCTAAAATCCTCTGAGCTTTGGAGTACCATACTTGAATCCTTTTTTCTTAAAGGTCTTAAAGGAACCATTATGAAATAGAAGTTTATACCTCTTTCTCCCTGGTTACTTAAAAGCCCAGTGCCAAACCCACACGCCCAAAGCAGGCGCCTCCGGCTGGCGGCTTGCTGTGGGGCTGCTGGCGCTCACGCAGAGTGTGGCATGGGCTCTGACTGACAGTAGCAAGTGGGAGTTTCCGACAATAATAAGTTAGCAATGACCATTTCCATTTTCTAACCATGCCCCACCCCCTAGCACCAAAACCATAACAACCTATACCTCAACCTTCAACCCACCTAAGACCCATAGATAGGACCCTAGGAAAGACCCACCTAAAGACCCAAAACCAGAACAACCTATACCTCAACCCTAAACCCACCAAAAAAAACCAACCTCAGACCCCTAGGATGGAACCATTAGAAGAACCATAGGTAACCTCATAGAATAACAACATGCTCAAACCCATACACCCACACTCCAACAGAAAACCCGATAGTATCAACCCGAAATCCCTAACCCTTGAAAATGGAAATGGTCAAGGCTACGCCAAAATGCAGAGCTTACGCTCTCTATCATCTCAAATACAACATCTATAATAGGAAGAAGGTTGAGGAATAAGGTCGAACCGACTAGGACGATATTTGCAGTACAGCATGAGCTACTTGTCCGAATTCCGTTTTCAGCTTCGACCGCACCCTCACTGGGCATTTCTTCCTGCAGCTTCCTCAATGGCCTTGAAAGCTGGCCTGGCATTTGCCATGTTCTTTCTGGCACAAAGGGCGCCATTCCAGTCTTTTCTTGCAGTCCGTCCTGGCTCCTGGTTCGTTCGCACACAGGGTCAGTCACGTTTCGCCTGGCCATGCAAAATCAACAGACGGACTCGGACTTGCGCATTCTCAGCACGTTCCGGAGATGTTCGAGTTTCCAACAGTCGTGAAATGAGGAAGACTGTATTCTTGGGACAAGTTTTGACAGTCGCAGCGGGCTGTTTTCATACCTGTGCAGTGCGGTCAGATGGTCAGCTCGTCTGCTTTGGACACAATGATTATGGGCAGTGTGACGTCCCAGCTGATTTGGGACCAGTTTTGGCAGTCGCAGCGGGCGTTTGTCATACCTGTGCAGTGCGGTCAGACGGTCAGCTCGTTTCCTTTGGACGCACTCGCACTGATTATGTGAACTGTGACGTCCCAGCGGATTTGGGACCAGTTTTGGCAGTCGCAGCGGGCAGTTTTCATACCTGTGCAGTGCGGTCAGATGGTCAGCTCGTCTGTTTGGGAATGAATAATTATGGGGCGTGTGACGTTCCAGCGGATTTGGGACCAGTTTTGGCAATCGCAGCGGGCAGGGATCATACCTGTGCAGTGCGAGCTGATGGTCAGCTCGTCTGTTTTGGAATGACTACTTGTGGGATGTGTGACGTCCCAGCAGATTTGGGACCAGTTTTGGCAGTCGCAGTGTGCGAGTGTCATACTTGTGCAATGCGAGCAGATGGTCAGCTCGTCTGTTTTGGAGAGAATAGTTATGGGAACTGTGACGTCCCAGCGGATTTGGCACCAGTTTTGGCAGTCGCAGCGGGCAGTTATCATACCTGTGCAGTGCGGTCAGACGGTCAGCTCGTCTGCTTTGGACGCAATGATTATGGGCAGTGTGACGTCCCAGCGGATTTGGGACCAGTTTTGGCAGTCGCAGCGGGCGATTGTCATACCTGTGCAGTGCGGTCAGACGGTCAGCTCGTTTGCTTTGGACGCAATGATTATGGGCAGTGTGACGTCCCAGCTGATTTGGGTCCAGTTTAGTGTGCCATACCTGTGCTGCGCAGGAAGAAACAGAGAGTCAGCTTGTCCGCTTTGGAGACAGCTTTTATGGGAAGAGTCATGTGCCCAAAAAGTGATTCTGAATGAAATGGAGACTGCTTACCCTAGTAGTTCAAATCTCAGATACTGCCTATCATGACCTTCAACCCTATAATAATTTTGACCTAATTTGTTTTCAATATTTTCTATGGTATAAATACTCTGTGACCAGTTGCTCACTCTTTCTTTTTCATTTGGTTTTCGCTTCCTAAATATCTTAACTTCGTTACCTACATCTAAATCAGGATATACGCGGTCCTTCTTTCCCTTCATCGTTAAATTTAATTTCACTTTGAATTGATTACTGGGTTTTCGGGCTTCTTTTGGCGTAAATCCCGTGGCAGAATGCTTCATTTGATTATTATAGGTTAATAATATTTCTAATATGTAATCTGGCCATTGGATGTTTTCCTTTCCCTTTTTTCATCTGCTTCAATCCTCTTATATAACATATCTTTAAAAGTGCGGATGGCTCTTTCACTAAAATTTGGGTGCGCCCTCGTTCTATGATGTTCTATGTTCTCGTCCTTCAAATACTTTTGTATTGCCTCCTTGTTCAATGCTCCCTCGTCGTCTGTGTAAATTATATCTGGTTTCTTGCCCATCTTGTTTAAACACTCAATCATTCCACTCGCTACATCTCCTTCTTGTTTGCTGTTTATCGGCACTACGTGCATAAACTTATCAAAAACATCAATCATTAACACACCTACCCTAAACTTTTGTTCTTTCAAACCGTTTATAAAAAAAACAAATCCATCTGATATTCATAAGCGGAATGAGGGGCGATAAAACTGTTTTGACCTACCGGCTTTCTTTGCTGCTCAACATTCTTTCTAAAAAACTCGTTAATATCGCCCATTGTTATAGTTTTGTCCTTCTCCCGTGCTTCCGCTAGTGTTCTGGATTTACTGCCAAACCACGCTCTATCAAAATATGCATCATTAATAATTTTCTGTTTCTCGCTCATATAAATGAGTAACAAAAATAATGGTTTAATATAAATAATTAAATCATCATTTTACATCGCATTGGGCATAATGACTTTGTATTCATTCATATCGTATTTGGGTGCTCCGCGCTTCTTTATGCTGGGTTTCTTATCTGTAATGATTTCATTAATCTGACTTGGTGTTAAGTCTTCTTCACTTAAATTGTTCTCTTCTATGTATTCCTTAAGTTTCTTTTTTTGGTTGTGTCTTAAACTTGCTTCGCGCTTCTTTTGCATGAATTGTTCGTCTTCTTTCCTTTTATTATATAGTATAACCTCTGATACAATGCCAGTTGTTGCTTAATCTCGTCCATTGTCATATCCTCGGGACTTTTGAAATGTGTCATATAACTATATTATATATTTATACTATTTCTTTAAATGAACTTCTAAATATGTTACAAAAATCTTTGGAAAAACTATTTAAAAAGAAAATTAATTTATATTGTAATTATATTGTTATATGAGCAAAAATATTAAGCGTAACACGAGAGCACTACAAACAACCTACGACAACTACAAAAATCGCCTCACGCAAGGCACCAGAACCAAAATACAAAATCTAATCAATTTTTATGAAGACCGTAAAATAGCGCAATTCACCACCGCAGATAATTTAATCAGACAGTTTATAACCGCAAAAACCGACAAACAAAAGACAAAAGCAAACAACGCATACGACAAAATTCACGACAAACACCACGACAAAGAACCCCTAGGGAGACCAATGCAGGAAGCAAAGAAGGAAAACAAAAAGCGAAATAGCACCAACATTTACACGGTGGATGCGTTGTTTTACAGACTGAAGGACGAAAAAAATGATAAGGAACTCAAGACAGCGTTTAAAGACAGCAAAGGCAGACCCTACGTTATTTACTGGAAAGACCCGCAAACCTTAAACATAAAATCTACTAGTTCATAGAAGACATAGTTAGAAAAAGGGTATTTCGCACCGAGAAGGACACCATGATATTGTTTTTTAAGTTGTTTCATACCTTACAAACCGACCCAGAAGCCAGAGACGAGTTAGAACAACACAAGAACTACATTGATTGTATTAAACTACTCAGTGTAGAACGCATTGATGACGATGTCAATTTTGACCCTAAAAATGAAAAACTCACAAATACTGCTAATTTAAGTATGTATAACATCTATACTCAAACGCCTTTAGACCCCGAGCTTGAAACCTTTAAGGAAGCAATAAATTACAAAGAAAACGAGTGTTGGTTTAACACCATAACCGATTGGTATAAGGATACGCTAATGGGCGAAAAAAGACGAGAGAAGAACAGAATAACAAAAGAAAATATGTTAAAACTGATAAATAAGACAGAAGAGGATTTCAAAACAAACGGGGCATCAATACAAGATATGGTGCCGGTCTTTGAACATTACGGCATTCAGGTAGGGAATTTCAATTCTTTCATAAAACCGATTTTCAAATACCCGCCGACCAAATACAACCACCATATACCAACATTATACGCCCTAGTTAAGAATAATCATATCTACACAGCGAACGACAACCTACAGATGTTAAGGCAGATGGTGACAATCCGCGAAAATCAAGATGTATCGGTTAAGGCATCACCGGATTATCGCATAAACGAAAACGACGAACCTACTGAATGTAAAATGATACAGTCCTTAAACGACCTTAAGAAATTCAGAGAGAAAGACAATTACACATTAATATACGATGGCAATGATTTAACCCAGTTGTTTTACGAAAGCAAGATGGCGGGCTACGAGCCACAAGTGAGATTTACTGGATGTATCGTATCCGATTTGTATTTCAAATTTTACATTAAGAAGAAGAGCATTAGATACAGGATTAAAACACAAAATCTAGTGACGAGTTCCGTGGATGGAACTATAACAGTAAGAACGGAACAGATTTATAACAAAATGTCTAAAGCGATGTATGAATTCAACAACGCATTATTTAACCCCTTACATAAATCCTATTACAACGAAACCGACATACAAGTTCTTAAGGAATGCCGAACAATCCCGCCAGTAGGAGAAATAAATAAATTCTACAAGGTGTTTAACCAAAAACCGAGAAATACGACAAATACGGATTTACAACCGAAACAACGACCGAAATAGATGTAAGAAAAGCTTATACACATGCCCTCAGCCAAATTTCCGAAATCCCTGTCTTTAACCAGTTTGATATATTGAAGCAGTTTAGTTACAAAAACCACGATTATAGCAAGCTTCGCGAACTGACTTTGTTTTTAGTGAAACCTAAAGAACAAGCATTGCTTTTTAATAAGACCCATTGTTTGGTATATGGCAAGTTTTTAAGGCACTATGCCGATAAATGCGAAATCCTGTATTACAAAGAGCCTTCCAGAGTGTATAAGGTGAATTACACGACACTTATTAAACAGTTATGGGCAACAGAAATATCAGACCAGTTCCCAGAAGATGCTAAAATCAAGAAGCTTATAGCAAATCTAAATTTTGGATTGTTAGAGAAGGGCACGAACAAATCTTCTAAAAGCTTTGCCTTTGACAGCTTAAGGGAGGCATTGTATTATCAACAAGAAGTGGGAGGAAAGATTAATAAAATCACGGGATACGACCTTGACACCGACAAAGAATTGGACAGAAAATATTACTGCTTAGCAGTGACCGATAGAGTGGCATTAAGAAACGGATACACTTACACAAAAGAACTACTTCTTCAAGCCCATAATCATAAAATGCAAGAGGATTATACCAAATTGTTAAATAACGGTGTTGATGTATGGAGTGTTAAAACCGATGCCTTTGTAATTAGACCAGAGCACTTAAGTAAGGCAAAGAAAGCAATAACCTTTAACAATAATATCGGAGGATGGCGACACGAAAAAGGTAAATCAATAATCCCACCGACAGAAAAACACAAAATGAAAGAAAACATATTAACAGCTATACCAGAATATACCAACGAAACACTAGAAATTAAAGACGAGTGGGACACCGAAAGCATAGCAAAGCAAATCACGCAACATAGCCCACTCATTATAAGAAGTAAATATGCCGGAGGTGGTAAATCGCATATAGCGAAGCATTTCGGCAAGTTAGGTTATAATACATTGTTTGTAGTCCCGCAGAACAGCTTATCGCAAAATATAGATGATGAAGCAATCACTACAAATAAATCATTTGCTATTCCTGTCGGCGACGGGGAGAAACTGCCGGAGTTTGACCATAGCAAATTTAACTGTATAGTGTTTGATGAGATTTATATGAATAGTTTATATATCTTAAATAGAATACGAGAGTTTGTAAAACATAACCCCGATAAGATTATAATAGGAGCGGGAGACGTTAAGCAACTGCCACCAATTGAAGACCTAACCAATACCAGAAAGCCCGATGAATACGCCGACGACTGTATCAACCAAATATTTAAATACACTATGATGCTTAAGATTTGTAAGAGGTTAGGGACTAAAGATGACCCAAAAGCAAATGAGAACCGCAACACCTTAAACCGTATGTTTGACGACATGTGGATAAACAGCATTCCTATAACCGAATTTGTAAGAAAATATTTTAAAACCACTGCCGACCTAATGGCGTCCGAGAAGAACATAGCATACACCAACATAAGGTGTAAAAATGTATCCAACTATATTAGAAACAATCTAGGTAAAACTGATAAATACGAAGTAGGAGAGATATTAATTTGTAGGAAGTATAAGAAGGTTGGAAGTATTAAATTTAATGTTAATTACAGGTTTAAAGTCGTTAATATATCAGGCAATGTAATTACCTTAGAGAACTTAAAATCAAAAGATAGATACACCACCGACATTTACACATTAGATAATAATTTTAGATACGACTACTGCACCACTTGCCATTCTGCACAGGGGGCATCAATCAAAGGCAAAATCACTATCCACGAGTGGGAGAAATTGTATTTTGTAAGCCGTGAGTGGATATGGTGCGCCTTAACGAGAAGCACTGATTTTAATGATGTTTTGTTTTACGAAGGTGCTACTAACAACGGAGAGCTAAACGAAGAAAATCTACACCGATATT